AACAAAGAGAATTTGCAAAACAAAAAAAAAAAAATAGTATATATGATAAACAAATTTTGACTAATTAGGCATTACTGATGTAGTATGTTTAATCAAATGTCACTAATATGTTTTTATCTTATATGCATGTAAAAATCTATTACCTGTTTTTAGAAATGTTGAATTGGTTAATTTTATTTATTAATTTGGAGGTGTTAAAATGTACCATATACCTTATTATTGTTTAATTCTATTCAAATAAAAATATATTTTTTTGTAAATGATGAAAAATAATATTAAAAGATAATATGTATCCATTTTACTTTTATATTCTGTTTTTCTAAGGGAAAATTTCTTAAACTATCCCTACTGTTTAGTTAATTGACTAACTCTATCCTTGTTGTTTATAAATTGTCTTAAAGTACCCTTATTGTTTCTAACAATTGTCATCGCCACTGAATGCTAATGAAAAAACTGAAATATCAAATTTACCCCTTATTATTTTTCAAAATTTTAAATAAAACTAATTGATGAAAAATCTTCATCAATCTCTTCGGGTTTCTTTTTCTGTGTTAATCTCTCCAAGAAAAGTGAAGACACAGAAAAGGGTATTTCTTTTAATCAGACAGCCCTGTATATAATACTCTTCTGTAATTGTCATTGGTGCACTTTAACCCAGGTGGTGGACGGTTTCTGGAATCGGGAAGATAGGAAACGGAAGGGAGTGGAACGATGACTGAAACTTGGATTAGTTTCAATGGTAACTGCACAAAAAGAATAGGGGGTGGAGGGTTGATCTTGGGTTTATTCAATCGGGACTGAGCAAGGATGAGGTTATAGAACCACTTGTGGGCACAGAAGATCAAAGCTCAACTTGAACAGACAAGGTCGAAGGCCATGTTTACCTTGTTCGTTCACCGATTAAGGTCGAAAATCCCCTCTTTTGTAGGGACAGTAGTGGAGAGAAGAAGCAGGAAAAAACATATTTTATATACCCGACACCTTGAAGGTTTTCTTAGATTCCAAAGTTGAATCTTCTTGAAGGTTTTCTCTCTTAGACGAAATAAGCCTTAAACCAGTAGATCTGCTTCTGATGGGATTTTCTCATGCCTTAGGACTGAACCCATTTTCAGATAGCAAGCACTGACACACCCCCTACGTTTCAGACAACAAGCACCGGCACCCCCCACATTTCAGATGACAAGAACCGGCAAGGGGTGAAGATGAGGGTATTACTGTCACTTTATCAAAATATAACAGTCATGTGGTGTGGCACGTGAGTGGATTATGACGGGTTGTTACGGAACCCTAATGGTAGGGGAATAATTATCCAATGGTTAGAAGTAATAGGGATACTTTAAGACAATATATAAACAGTAAGGGTAGAATAATTCAATTAGCTAAACAGTAGGGATAGTTTAAGAAATTTGCCCTTTTTTAACCATGGAATGATTGAACCATTTGACCCATAACTTAATCACTAAAATTAGGGTTGTCAATGGGGGTCGGGTTGGGTTTTTGAAGTTTTTGGGCTGGGCTTAAGCCTAGCCCTTAGATAGCTTGAACTCAACCCAAGCCTGGCTGGATCTTATCCCAACTCAAGCCTGGTCTACTTATATACATGTATATAAGCAAATATAAACACATATCTACATGCAAACATGCATATATGCATAGTTTTAGTAAACCATACATATACACATGTATGTATAAATATATGTCTACATGTATATCAATTTTTAGTGTGGGCACCAACTTGAGCTCAAGCTAGGCTCGAGCCCAACCTGAGTGCATCAAATTTTAGTGTGGGCTGAGATCAGGTTGGATAATTTGGGCTGACTTAGGCTTTGGGTTGAGGGTTGGACTTGGGTTGAACTAACACTTGACCCAACCTGCCTGACTTGCATTGTCATTCAAATGTTATTGCTTGTCCAAAATTACCCTTTTGGACATATATTATTATAAATATTACATATAAAACCAACAAACCATTAGAAATTTAGGCATTTAATATATTATATATATGTGATATAATCGAGAAACAAAATTTGAAATTGGAACTAACCCAACGGTATAAAACTTGGAACCACAACCATTATAATTGGTTCAATTGGCCCAAGTTTGTTGGGTATACCTAGCTACACATTGATAGCTAAGACTAAAATGACTATCTAGAACATTTATATGATCCATACCCTTGTTAGTTATCATTATCTATACTATATATAAAAGTGCATATGCAGAGTAGAAGTTTTTTAGATTAAAATTACCTTCTATTTCTTTGTTTGAGTGAGGGTATAAAAGTCATTTTATTATAGGTTTAATGTCAGCTTTAATGGATACTAAAATGCCCATATTTGTCTATTATTTAGTCCATCTTTAATTGTAAGGGTTGAAAATGTAACTTCAATTATTACTTTCCACCATATTTAATCCCCCCTCATTAATGGCATGTTTCTTTGCTCCGAAGTCACATCTGAAAATGCAATAATTACATTAAGAGGTATAGGTATTGGTGAACTTTTTTCCCTCTAAACTCTGAATGTAGAGAATGTTGTTCTGAATTATGAAAATTATCAAAAATCCATTTTGACCCCATATATGAGAGCTTTGTTCATCTTTTTGAGGATATCATTGGAAAACAAAAAGGTCTATGATTTCATTTTAAGAAATAAGAGATAAGTGGAAATGAACACACATTTTTCTCTTAAGTTAAAAGATTCATCTTAAAAGATAAGAGTTAAGAGGAAATGAAAATGCCCTAAGTCTTATAATTAATGTATTAACTCTCATTTTCTCTTATTAAATCCTATATTTATGTTATTTTTCACTAATAAGTGCTACTCATTAGATATATGACAATATTTTAACAATACAAACCCATGTGTTTTAAAATTGACTAAAAAATAAAACCATTCTTTATCCAAGTGGTGGCTAAGCAATTCAACCATTTGAATCAAATTAATCAACCTATAAAGTCATAGTTGGGTAATAAAAATTATATAATATAAATAAATATAAAAAATTACAAAATGTAGAAAAAGTTAGACACATTTATGATATTTTTTTAATAAAATTAAAAAAATGTAATAAACAATAATTATTTTTTATTGATAATGAAAATGAAATACATAATTTAGAACTGACCAAAAATGAAATTGTTTTACTGTTTGGCAAAGATCAATAATTCAACTTTTGGGTCAAATGTGTTAACATTTAATGTTATAAACAAATAATAAAAATTAATAAAATATGAAAATGAAAAAACATAAATTTTGCAAAAAAAAAAAAAAACTATTCAGGCACATGTATAACATTATATAATTATCATATTAAACAAAAAGTAAATGTGATGTATCAAAATTATTTTTACACACAGAAACACAAAATTATAGGAAATTTGAACATACGTCTATAATTCTATATTTACACTACTATTAAAAATATGAATAAGATTGTAGAACTTTCTTTTGACTATAATACTTATTTTTGAATTTAGTCCCTATTTAATTGTGAGGTTTAAATTGTAAATTGAACTTCTACTTTTCACCTCATTCAATTCCTTCTATTTAAATTTTACATTTCTTTAATAATTGAACAAAAAAAAAAGATACACCAAAAAGATAAAACATTACAAAATAAAAATCTAACCAAGCAAACAGGCCCGTCAGTGATACTTGAAACTTCACAACTTGATTTGATTATCACATATTTGAATGAGGTGTTTATGTAATCAAATTTAGATTTTGCAATTTGCATTCGATTAACAATAAAAAACAAAAAATAAAAAATACATATTTATAGAAATTTTTTAATACATTATTACTATCATTGTCATCATTTAGAATTGTCACGTGCAAAGCACATGCACACTTACTAGTTTTCCAAGTGGCAATTTCAACTCTAGATTTATTGCCTAGGAGCGAGCAAATGGATAGATTATACCCAAAACTAAATTGAACCAATCCTGTATTAGTCTTAAACTGACCCTACCCAATTTGTTACTAGGTAGGATCTGGTTCCAAATACTTGGATCTAACCCCCACCTAGGCCAGTATCAAAATATAAGGGTTTATCTTACCTAAACTAACCTAGATAACCAAACTTGGTTGGTCTTGGTGGAACCAACTTTATAGTTAACTTGTTTTGAAATAAGTTAACAAGCACTCATGATTATAAAGACCACGGTCCCACTTAAATATAGAATCAGTGATTTGATCTTTATTATCAATTTAATATTTGAATGTGTATAATAAGTAATATAAAAGAAAATATTTTCAAATTTTAAGTTATAATGATAAGTTTTGAACAAATTATTATTATTATTATTATTATTATTATTATTATTAGGTTCTACCATAGAATCGATCCATATTAACCCCTACTGCCCACGAAAACACTGTCCATCAAATATTATATACATACATCGGGAACATCTGCTCATAATTGACACCATACAATTATAGTAGATGGTCCTGATGTGCCGCTGCATATCATATCCAACCTCAACGGTCTGGACTTTTTTTTCTTCTTTGAATTCTAGTGGGATTTATAAATTTTCAACGCTGCATGATGGTCCCCTCTTCAACCTCTCCTTCCTAGATCTGCGGATGAAATGAGGCCCCACCAAAGGCAGATATTAGAGTGGTTGTGAGATAGCTGAAGTGGAGATTTATTATTGGTTAAACAGCCCCAAACACAGCCGTCAAATGGGACTCCGGATGAAGAACAAAGAAAGACATGTACAAGTGGGGCATTTTTATTGGTTAAACAGTCAGGAACAAAGCACACAGCCATCTGGTGCATCTCATCCGGACTCCTAAATCCAAGGGTAGGAAGCTCGATAGTCATTCCAGCTGGTAGATCATGGATCTAATGATACCAGTGATACAGTATGATTTTGTACCACTTGATCATATCTTTTGTTGTTTCAATAAAATTGTTTGTTGGGGTAGTTGTATCCTCCCATCTCCCTTTCCCCTCCCATGGTCACACGCCCTTTAAAATCTTTTATCACCTCTTCTTTCTCTGTGCAAACTCTCTCTCTCTCTCTCTCTCTCTCTAGTCATTTTTCTGAACAACAGAAATGGCAGAGAAGAAACAAGAATCAGAAACGGAAACGACAACAATTCAATTACCTCAGAGAAGTAGAATCAGTAAACTTCCCGACTTTCTCCTATCTGTGAAGCTCAAGTACGTGAAGCTTGGATATCATTACGTGATCTCCAACGCTATGTATCTCGTTGTCGTAGCCCTCTTTCTTGTTGTCTCTGCACATCTCTCCACTCTGACCTCCGACGATATCATCCAGCTATGGCGCCACCTGGAGTTCAATCTTGTAACAGTGGTCAGCTGTTCGTCTCTCTTGGTTTTCCTTGCTACCCTTTACTTCATGAGTCGTCCGAGGAACGTCTACTTGGTGGACTTCGCCTGCTACAAGGCTGATCCATCTAGAATTTGCACTCGAGAAAGGTTCATGGAGCTGTCAGTGTTTGCAGGGACCTTCACAGATGAGAATTTGGCGTTTCAGAAGAAAATTCTGGAGCGGTCGGGGTTGGGCCAGAACACATACTTCCCGGATGCGGTGTTGAGGGTACCGGCAAACCCGTGTATGTCGGAGGCGAGAAAAGAGGCGGAGATGGTGATGTTCGGAGCCGTTGACGAGCTGTTGGCCAAGACCGGTGTGAAGCCCAAGGATATAGGGATTTTGGTGGTGAACTGTAGCCTCTTTAACCCCACACCGTCTCTCTCCGCCATGCTTGTTAACCACTACAAGCTCAGAGGCAATGTTTTAAGCTACAACCTTGGTGGAATGGGGTGCAGTGCTGGACTTATATCCATTGACCTCGCCAAGCGCCTCCTCCAGGTCTCTCTCTCTCTCTCTCTCTCTCTACATTATATTGGGTCAATCGATTTTGGTCATGCAAAATCGATTTAAATATGAACAGACGAATATTCCATTGATTTTTTTTTACCGAATTATTGATCATATCTTTAAGGTTGTTTTTTGTTTGATAGAAAACAAGAGAGAAATTGAGAGTGAAAGTTCTCAACGAATTTTGTGAAATTTCTTAAGAACTTACCCTCAATTTTCTGTTTATCTCTTATTTCAGTCAAACCAAACACAGCCTAATTGTCAAAATCAAATTATATATATGCTAGAACAAATACCATACCATTCCTTGGACTGTTAATTATCTACTAGACCTTGGGAAACATTCTTACCAAAAATACAAGTCCTTGGGAAATAGTTCTAACACTAGAAGGTTCAATTTGATGAAATAAAAAGGTAAAAAAGAAAAGCTATAAAAGAGGAAAGTAGGTAATCTAATACGATCCAAACGATCCAATCCCACAAAAAGAACACAGCTCCAGAAGCAGTGATAGGCTGATAGCTATAGTTTGTGAAACCCAGAAAAAAAATGACTACTCTGGAATACCCAGTGGAAAAGGCTAGGATTTTTTCCATTTTTATTCTTTTTCTTTTTCTGGGTAGGACCCTTTTTTTATCTTTGTATATATGCAGAAAACCCTTTTAAAAAACAGTTCAAAAATAAAAATTAAAAGAAAAAACAAATTTAAACCTAGGTAATTACTCCTGGACCAGAAATCTGGTGTTGTTCTTATATATGTTGCCAGGTTTTCATCTCACTTTGATCCCAGAAGCCCAGTTTCCTCTCATTATTAACTCGTAGAGGAGCTAGCTAGCTAGCTAGCAATTGTGCCTAATCTCTAATGTGAGTTAATAACATATCTTGCTTGTAATTAAAAAACAGGTGCAACCCAACTCCTATGCTCTGGTGGTGAGCATGGAGAATATCACTCTGAATTGGTATTTCGGCAACAACCGCCCAATGCTCCTTTCCAACTGCCTATTCCGCATGGGCGGAGCAGCCATCCTGCTATCAAACCGGCGAGCAGATCGGCGCCGCTCCAAGTATCAGCTGGTCCACACTGTACGTACACACAAGGGTGCCGACGACCGTTCCTACAACTGCGTCTTCCAGGAGGAAGATGACACCGGAAGAGTAGGAGTGGCCCTGTCCAAGGACCTCATGGCCGTCGCCGGTGAAGCCCTCAAGACCAACATCACCACACTCGGACCCCTCGTGCTCCCCATGTCCGAGCAGCTCCTCTTCCTGGCGACCCTAATAGGGAGAAAGGTATTCAAAATGAAGATCAAGCCTTACATCCCCGACTTCAAGCTCGCATTCGAGCACTTCTGCATTCATGCCGGAGGGAGAGCTGTGCTGGATGAACTGGAGAAGAATCTTGAGCTCACAGAGTGGCACATGGAGCCCTCAAGGATGACTCTCTATAGGTTTGGCAACACTTCTAGCAGCTCCTTGTGGTATGAACTGGCATACGCAGAGGCCAAGGGGAGGATCAAGAAGGGAGATCGGACCTGGCAGATTGCATTCGGGTCGGGTTTCAAGTGCAACAGTGCAGTATGGCGTGCACTGAGGACCATCAATCCTGCTAGAGAGAAGAACCCATGGACGGATGAGATTGATGGGTTCCCTGTTCCCGTGCCCAAAGTGACACCCATTAATCATACCTTAAACCCCACCAAATAATCCATTAATGTGGTAAATGAAAGAAGGTCCGGATTACAGTACTGGATTTGAATGATCCCACTCCCACCATTTCATGATAATTAAGGCCTTCTACATTTTTTGGAAAATTGAATTAATAATTATCTCACCATATTCTTTGTCAGAAGAGCTTTGATCAGGTGGGACCCATTGAATGGGGATCCTGCTCCACATCATACACAATTATGATCTAATTCCATACCACAACTATGGTTGGTAAATGCAATCCATATGCATGTCAAAAGGCCTGTTATCCATCTCTATTATCTTTTTAATTTCCAATATTATTTCTTTGTTTTTGGTTTTTCATCAATGCTAATGCTGTGTTTTGGTTTGAGCAAATCAGCTAATAGTTATGTGATTAGTTCCTTCATATCCATCCAAATGAAGGGATCGGATCTCCCACCACTTCCTTCTTTTGGTTCCATTTTTTGTGTTTGTGAGTTCAACCATGTGAGGGTTATCAATCTCCTGTACGAAGTGGGCAATTAAAGCCCTGTCAAATAAGTAGGAAGTTGTGTACAAGTTGGTTGGTAATTATATTTGATGGAAAGCAACTTTATTGAGACTTGTATTGTTTTCTAGGAAAAAAAAAAATTATAGTGCTTTTCAATTTAGATGAACCTGCAAATTAAATGTGGTTGTTGATATTTAATTAAGGTGGATACAACATGGTTCGTTGTTAAGTTAAACCATGCCTTGTTATCTTTTATTAGAATTAGAGTTTGGTTTTAATTAGAAACTACTTGAGAGACCTGTGCGATGCCTTTGTTAAAAGTAATTGTAGCAAAAGGAGCCTTGCAACAATCCCAGTTGGGTCATGTAAGATTGAGTCCAATACAAATACTATTTTTTTTTATTATGTATTGCTGGTTAAATTAGTTTTAAAATTATTTTTTTTATATTATTATTTTTATTAATAAATTTATAGTAGTATTTAGTTTTATTATTTTTTTACTAAGTTTTATTATTTTATATTAGAACTTTTAATGTTGCTATTTATAAATTGATTTTAAAGTCAATAATTTTTAAAATATATTTATTATTAATTATAATTTTTAGTTTATTGTTATTTTATTTATTGATTTTATCATTACTTTTAAATGAAATTTTAAGGGATACTAAATTATAAAAATTAATTCCAAAACTAATAATTTCTTATATTTTTTATTTTATTAATAAACTTGTATTAATTAGAATTAAATTGGATGGAACCTAAGTAGTGATGATCACGGGAAAGCCAAATCAGCTCCAGGCTAAACTTAGTACATGTGATATCAATGTTTTTAAAACAACTCGGAATTGGAACCGTTCTGGCCATCAATTTCTGGGTCAACAATTCAATCGTTAGAACGGATGGCCCGTTTGATTGTCTGGATCAATGATTTGTTGACCAATTCAACGGTTTTTGGCCAGGGACAGGGTTTGGGGTAAAACAGAACCAACTGCTTGGACGGTTCCCTGGCCAAAGCGGTTCAACCGTCCAAGTCAATGGCGGTTCAAAAACATTGTGTGATATGGTTATGGCCCAAGATTGGGCTTGTTTTAAGCCAAAAACATAAGGTCATACCCAATCCTACATGGGCCTAGCCTAATCTTAGCAATTGTAATAAGGGTTATAGCTTAGGCCTGAATAGGGCCAGCCTTAAATTTGAGCCTATGATTTTTTTGTATAAAATAATGAAATTTTATATTATATGCCATATAATATGTATATAAAATTATTTTATACATATTCTAATATAAAATATCATATTTATATGTATTATAAGTATGTATAAATAATATAAATATGTGTGAGCAATGTGGGGCCTGGGCTAGGCTTGAAGTGTTAGGCCCAAACTAACTTTACAATTTGTTTTCCTAATATAGGCATAGACAGGAGAGCCAGGCTAAAAATGATCACCCCTAAATCGAAGTGAATTTTAAATTAATAATATTAATTTTAAAATTAACAAATTTATTTATTTTTAATTTTACTAAAGAATTTTTATAATTCATGTTATATTATCAGTTAGTTAAGATTAATTAAGTTATAATTAATTATATACTTCATTTTTAAATAAATTAATTATCATATTATGTTTTATTAATAATACAGTTAATAAATGTTACCTATTGATAATACTTGATTTGATTATATATGAGTAATAAATTATCCTTATACTACAAAAAAAAGCAATTATTAGTATCCTATAAAGGACCTTTTGAAAAAGTTACACCCACCGGTGCATCAAAGGAATTCTAAAAGAATGGGTCATTTTATACCCTCAATAAATGACTCATTAATTTTCCATTAATCTCTTTTTCTAAAGGAAAATTGTCTAAAGCTCACCATGAGTTTTCAACATTTCCCTTAAACTCACAACAACTTTTCAAAATGTCTAAAATTCACCATGTCAATAAGTTATTATTTTCTAAAACCCCCTTCCGTTAGTGCACTGTTAATGCTTCTTAACAGAGGTATCCATATCAACATAAATAACAATTTTCATGACCAAATTACCATTGAATGGTGAGTTAAAGGAAAAATGGTCTTTTCGGTTTTCAATTTTCTGTTTTTTTGCATTTAGTGTTTTGTTATAATTTTCAATGTTTTTTATAATTTCTGTTTTTTTTTTACATTTTCTATTTTCTACAATCTATAAATTTTTCTGTATTTTTTGTTATTTATTTGTAATTTCTGTGTTTTTCTATAATTTTGGGTATTTTTTCCATAATTTTTATTTTCTGATTTTTTTTTTCAATTTCTATAGTTTCTATAATTTGAAAATAATTTTTTATTTTGTTTGCAATTTCTATAATTTTTTTGTATTTTTTTGTAATTTCAATGTTTTTATGTATTGTATATTTGAAAATATTTTTTGAACTTTTTCCTTTTTTTTCATGTCTAAATACTAAAATGGTAATATATTAACATCCGTTAATTTATTTTGTATATATTTTGTATTTTTCTATGAAGGTTAAAATGGTAATATATTAACACCCATTAGTCTGTTTAACGTAAGTTAGTGACATGATGAGTTTTAGACATTTTGAAAAGTTATGATGAGTTTAAGAGAAATGCTGAAAACTCATGGTGAATTTTAGACAATTTTCCTTTTCTAAACTGATAAGTTTCACCCCCTAAACACAAAAGTCTCCATTACATGGAACTAGATCGAATTAGAAAAACAAAAAATCAAAAAAAAAGGAGAAAAAAGATGGAGGCCACGTTAGACCATTCTGTTTTAATATAATTTTTTATGTTATGTGCGATATGCACAGGATGTTGTATTTCTAATTTTTTATGTAGAATAGTAGACAAAATAATTTTCTTTTCTTTTTTAGTAATTGAGCTTCAAACTTTCCTTTTTATATAGCTTATATATTGTGAGAAGCATAAACCAACTAATGTGGCACAATTGATACCTTATAAAGCCAAAAAATGTGCTTGGCATGGAATTAATAACCAAGTTTAAAAAATGATTTTAAAGTTGAACTGATGAAGATAACCAAAGATTTACGTTAAGTTCTTTCTTACTACATTTTATTATTGAATCATAACAATCCATGAAACAAATCTACATTAAATTAAAATAATAAAAACAGAGGGAAAAACTTGAACCCAAGGAAAGGAGCAAACAGAGGGAAAAATCTGATAATCTAAGGAAAGGAGCAATGATTTGTTTACCCAACCCATCTAATTTACACCCTATTTTATTAGAGAAAACAAAAAAGGGATAAAGAGATATTTAAGAGGAAAATAAGGATTTAATGGAGAGGGGAGATGTTAAAATAAGGATTCAAGTGCATATTTATATATTTTAAGTACGAAAATAATATTCTATTATTAATATTTTTTGTATAAATTTCTTTGAGATTAAAAATCATTTTTGGATATAATTATGGATTTGATATATTATTTATTCCATTAGTTATAAAACATCAATTAGGAATATAATTCTTTTTAATTTTTAGTTGGAGTTATTGAACATATATATATATATATATATATATATATATATATAGGTTTTCCTACCTTTCCAATATTTTCCCTACTTTTTCCTTCAAACCAAACATAACCTTAAGGTTTGGATAAAAAAGCAATTTGTATTTAATTCACTCTAGGAGAGCATTTTTTTAATAGAGAAACGGGGCACAGGTGTACGGTATCAAATTGATATTTCAAACCTTGAGTGCAAAAGAATTTCAGAATGTTGATGGGTTCAATTTAACAACAAACAAAAAATTATATGCATGATAGAAATAAAGGAATTTTGAGGAATGCATTTGGTTTAAAAATTGGTCAAAATATCTCATTATCATTTTTTTTTTATGTTTTATGTTATTTAAATCCAAAACTACATTGGTGAGTCCTACTTGATATTATTTTAATTATAAAATTTGAACATATACAAAAAATTTACAAAAAGAATTGGTGCATCTCACATGTGAAATTTGAACATAATTAATGGGTTGTACATGAAGATGGAGGTCTATTATCCAACATTTTTCTTTATTAGTGTTAATAATTTGTTGGATAGCGTCCTCATCCACTTCTTTTTCAACATTATCATGCGCTTACATGTAGTCTTGGGCCTATAAGCCCAGTGATATTTCTTTGGGCCGGGCCATTCAAATTTTGGCAAAAGTACAGCCCATGAATAGGACTACCTTATACTAAATACCAATATTTTGTTGTTATTGGAATTCACCACATCCTGTTATGTCTCAATAGCTCTTGTTGCTATGATCACCAACCATGGTTTACCATGATATGTGGCAATGAGTACTACGGCGCTTTGACAGTGTAATTACTAGTTTAATATGGAAAAAGTTTTCATCAATCAAAATTCACCGACGAATTTTGATAAATAACACCTTATTTGTTATCACATTTATGATTTCAGTTTATTGATCAGTTGTTTTTGTCGTATCATATTTTTTCCATATCATAATCGAACCCGTAAATATTACACCTGCATAGAAAAAAATATTATATTATCTTAATCATGTGAACAAATGCCCATTATCAACCATTTGCAATGTTGTCAGAGCTTTATGAACACGTATGTGGAAATTAAAATTTACCTGAAAAAAGTTTAAGGGGATTACGAACAATGTCTCGCCACTTGGAGAGAAATTATTAGCAGTTTATTTAGTTTGTAGTCAGAATTAGAATTGGAATCAGAATCAAAATCATTTGGAATTGGAATTCAAATGGTCTATTTTCATAGTCTGTTTGGTTCAGACAGAAATAGAAATAAAAATTGGAATCAATAGGAATGGGATTTCATTCCCAAGGGAAGGGCAGGGAATGGCCATTCCCTCAAATGGGGGAATGCCATTCCAGCAGGAAAAGGAATTCATGGAATTCCAATTCCATCCAACCAAACAGTTGGAATTAGAATAGGTTATTCCGATTCTGATTCCAGACCCCTATTCCTACGAATTAAATAAGGCCTAATTAAGGGTCCATTTGGTTTGCGATTGAAATCGGAATCGGAATCGAAATCCTCCAGAATTGAAATCGAAATGGCCCATTCTCATAATTTGTTTGGTTTAGACAGGAATAGGAATGAGAAT